GCGATGAGTTATGAGACTCAACAGCATTATGCATGCACATGTCTATAATAACCACAATAAGTTACAAGTGGTAAATGATAGAAGCCAACAATGCTTTCCCGTGAGAAAAGGCTAACCATAAACAGCAATTTACCATGAATATTATCATAAGATGCAACTGTGCAAAAAATTCCCATAAAGCTATTTACATGTAGTCTTATCATTCATGTAGTCTCATTATTCATGAATCATCCTTCCCCAAAAAAGTGAATCTTAAAAGTAGCCAATGACCAGCTTGTGCACTTTAACAACTGCATCCTTTAGTCCCCAACATACAACGTACGTGTAATTCCCTTCGACTTCATTACCACCTACAAACACCAAGATAACTAAGATCATGCACGTATACATTATGTGGCTAAATGGTAGACACCTAGAAATCGTTGGCGATGAATGATGAGACCCAACACATTATGCATGCAGATGTCCATAATAACCACAATAAGTTACACGTGGTAGATGATGGAGGCCAACAACCCTTTCCTGTGAGAAAAGGCTTATCATAAACAGCAATTTGCCATAAATATTATAATGAGATGCAACTGTGCAAACATTTCTCATAAAGCTATTTACATGTAGTCTCATCATTCATGATTCATCCTCCTAAAGTGTCAATTTTCTTCTACAACTGGGAGTATGTACACTCACGAACGTGCCCAGTATGTGTGTATAGCTTATGGAACGGTTTAAACAAGCCCTAGTTTGGGTTATTTTGCTTACCATTCACGGTGACAGTAACACTCATGCTGTATTCTGATCCTATAATGATTTTGGCCACGCATCTGTAGACAAACTCTCCTTTACTTTCCAAAGTCTTGCTCCACATCCCCGAGACACTTGTATTTAAAATGGCAGTTTCGTTCTCAAACAGCTGGTATGACGCAACGCCTGGATTAGCATCAGCTGATGACTTCTCCCGTACATGCTTTGTCGTCCATGGCAGAACTCATTAACTGGACATTCTCAGGTTTGTCTAGGATAGAAGAAAGAGACAATTAAGTATCACTCAGAGTTCTCCAAAATTTTAGGGCAAAATGTTTTATTATACATAAACTGCAGATTTTTACAACAATTTTCAGCCCTAGGGAAAACTGTAACTGTACATGACAACGTAAATTTACAATAAATTTTTACGTGTTTGACATTGCCAATCAAGTGCCAACACATCACTTACCTTAACCCCATTCTGACAAAGCATGCACAGTTCTCAATGGAAGGTTGTTCCTCGAATTTGT